ACACTTATAACTCAACCATTAAAAAAAAAAAAAATCTTGAGGAAGTTCCTGTAGAATGTCTAGCTTTGAGCAGGTCAACTTCCCGGTAGTCTCTCCAAAGCAAACCTAATGTAAAATGTATGAGACAGTTGCTAGGCGAGGTAAACAACTGCACAGAGTTATTAATTATAGACCTGTTAAGGGGCGCCTGGGTGGCTCAGTTGGTTAAGCGACTGCCTTCGGCTCAGGTCATGATCCTGGAGTCCCGGGATCGAGTCCCGCATCGGGCTCCCTGCTCGGCAGGGGGTCTGCTTCTCCCTCTGACCCTCCCCCCTCTCATGTGCTCTCTCTCTCATTCTCTTTGTCAAATAAATAAATTTTAAAAATCTAAAAAAAAAATTATAGACCTGTTAAAAAAAAAAACAGCTAATAATGGTGGTATTTGTAAAAATAGTTGCGATGCAGCCCAGTCTTTGGGAATTAATGGGCTATCAGACACCAGTGAAGCCCATCCTATCTTATTTTAGGATAAGAAAGTCCTCTCATCTGTGAAGAGAATGTTTGCCTTTCAGTGGACTTGCAAGCTCCTAATCTAAAACAGTCCCAGGTCAAACAACAGTGTGTTCAAAAGAAAGAGACAGGGAACAGATTATCGTCCTTGCTCTCTCTATCTGCTACACCCAGAATTGCTTTCACTGGTATGATTCAATAGGACGCTGTCAGCTTCCATCAGTGGGTGCTACTCGGAAGCACTGTCCCAACAACCCTAGGCAGCACTGTTTCAAATCTTTGCGTGTCCCAGGCTGTCATCATTTTGGAAGGACACTCTGCTTACATCAAACATATTAAAACATATTAAGATGCACCCAACACCCTACGTCCATTTTTCCCTCTGCCTCTGCCTCTCTCTCTCCCTGTCTCTCATGAATAAATAAATAAAATCTTTAAAAAAAAAAAAAAGAATACACCTGGATCATCCATCTGCTCATGCTGTCATGAGAGGGAACATAGACAATGGCTTTTCATGCTTAGGAATCTTTATGTTCATCTCCGTAGCCCCACCTCAACCCCACACTGATAGAACTTTGAGAATTCCCACTAAAGTTCTTTTTACCTTTGTGCTCCTTACTTATGGGTCAAGAGACAACTCTAAGGGCTGCAAATTCTAGCCATCTCTGGACTTGGTTGTATAGTGTTTAATTTTTTTGATAACCATCTGCCTGAGGTATACGATCATAATCATCAGAAGTAAAGAATCAAAGTCAGATTGTTTTTGAAGGGAATTGAAGATAGGTATGAGAAGACATACGAGCTTGTTAAATGATTGTTTTAATATATACGAGAGAAACTATGTCTACATGTAGCTATTTGCATAGGAAACAGCTAAAATGGAGTGTTTGGAAAGCTATTTGCATCAGACTTTGGCCACTGAAGGGTGAGATATGAAGGAGATGAGGGCCCTCATCCTATGAATTGTATAACTTTGCTTTTGAAATCATCTTTTCTTTTTGAATGCACAGTCCGTTGTTCCTATTTTGGATCCGAGAACCTCTCTTCAGGTCTCCAGCATTTTCGAGATCCTCGAAAATCTTGTTGACCCCAGGCACCGCTGTCATCTCTAGCGCCCAGGGGCTAAATCAGCCCTAGTCTATGAGGCTTATTGCGGGGCTTACTATGAAGAAAATGTCAAGAATAGTGTCTGTCGGGGCGCCTGGGTGGCTCAGTTGGTTAAGCGACTGCCTTCGGCTCAGGTCATGATCCTGGAGTCCCGGGATCGAGTCCCGCATCAGGCTCCCTAGGGCTCAGCAGGGAGTCTGCTTCTCCCTCTCCCACTCCCCCCTCTTGTGCTCTTTCTCTCTCTCACTCTCTCTCTCAAATAAATAAAATCTTAAAAAAAAAAAAAAGAATAGTGTCTCTCCCATTAAGGAATGTCATCTCTGTGGAGGCCCCAAGGAGAAAGTGTCTCTCTAGTTCTGGTATCAAGAGCAGTTGTACTCACACTGTTGTTTTTCATCTTGGGAGCCCATGAGTCATGCAGGTAACCCTACCCTCTTCACACGGTTCACCGCAAAGCTTAGAAAACATGTGTGCCATTTTGTGCTCGAAACTCAGAGATCCCTCTTCTATTTTCTACCCTAACTTTCCCTTTGCCTCATTTCTTCCCATTCATTTTCATTTTATTTTATCTGGCTTAATTAATTTATGTAAGCTTCCTTAAACCCTTTTTGGACCAAGGCAGGATATAAATAAATCAACACATCAATCGCATTATTTTTCCCTGAAAACTGCCTCTGTCCCACATTTTCTACTTAAGATGGTCCTTCTGTTCAAATGATAGTTAACATTTACCGAGTATTTACTACCGGCTAGCAGCACCACGTGAAGCACTTCACATGGATTACTTCGTTCCGTCCTCATAACAAGCCATGGGATCGATCCTATTCCTTGTCAGATAAAGGACCTGAGGTATAAAGTAACTTGCCAGGGCCACTCAGCCAAGAAAAGCTGAGCTGGAATGCCACCCCAGGCTGGCTTCCTGGCCACCCACCTGCACCAGCTGGAAACTGTGGATGCAACTCCCTGGGTTCCCTTCTGTTGATTTAGCCAGCTAAATGCCTCTTGATTCTGTTCCCCTCCTCTCTATCCTCAGTCCAACTTTTTATTTCAGGGCTCTTTTGATCTCTGGCTGGGATTTTTTTTTTTTTTTTTTTTGAAGTGAGCTAGCCAGGTGCCCCCATCTGGCCAGGATTTTTGCAACCGCTTCTTAGAGGATCTCTCTGAATCCAAGCCTGCCCTCTGTGGATCTATCCTCCATGTTTCTGAAATATAAAGGTGTCTACATGTACAAGTCCCCAGTTGTAAGATAGAGTCCAGTTTGCTCTGTCTGGCATTCAGGACCATTTATAATCTGTTTTTAGTCAAACTATACACACCATGAGCCCACCTCATGCTCCCAAGACAGTGATTACTCCCCGGACAAGAGGCATGCGTTCGTGCTCAGGGATCTTGCACACACTGTCCCCTTTTCCTGTGCCTGGCAGACCACACAGATTTCAAATTTTAGGTCAAAATGCCTTCCTTGGGCGCCTGGGTGGCTCAGTTGGTTAAGCGACTGCCTTCGGCTCAGGTCATGATCCTGGAGTCCCTGGATCGAGTCCCACATCGGGCTCCCTGCTCGGTGGGGAGTCTGCTTCTCCCTCTGACCCTCCCCCCTCTCATGTGCTCTCTCTCTCATTCTCTCTGTCTCAAATAAATAAATAAAATCTTTAAAAAAAAAAATGCCTTCCTTATTGCGAAATGTTCACTGAACCCCCTAGTCCCCAACCCTCCTCCATGCTTTTCCCATTCTTTGTCGAGACTTCCTCACCACATTTACTTTATTGTGTTTTATTTATTTGTCCCTCTCCCTCACCAGACCCCAAGCTCCTTGAGGACAAGGACTGTGTTGCCTTACCCACTTCAGACCCCCGTCCCATACCAAACACCCAGCACATAGCAGCTACTCAGTAACTGAATGTTCAACCAAACTCGATGTGTGTATATCACCTGCAGATTAGCCTTCTTAAAGCACTTCTGCCCCCAACCCTCAAACCCAAGAATAAGTTGTACTTTGGGGCAAATTAGAAAAAAATGCCTCCTCTGGGCTGATGTACTCCAATAAGACACCCTTACCCTGAGCTGACACATGGCTTACATGTCCTTCCACAGAGCTTCGAATGAGCTAGACTTTAACCTCACTCTCTTGACCAGGCCAGTTCTTGTGCACGAAGACAGCGTACTTATCTATACATGGCAGGCCTGCAGGCACACAAACAATCCTCTTGCCCCTGTGTGCTGTTCCATCAGCTCCCATCTGTGTATGCAAACTTCAATACCCAGCCCAAATGTCACTTCCCCTGTGAACGCTTCCCCTGTACCTCTCAGGCAGATTTAACTGCTCTCTCTCTCGTGTATTCCCACAACTGCAGAAGGTACCCTTGTTTGAGTCTTACTGTACCACATCACACATCTTTCTTTATTGCTGGTCTCACTGCCGGACCATGAGTAGAATCAAGAGTAGGATCACATCAGGCATTGTTAGGTCCCAAATGCCTACAATGATGCCTTTCATATAAATGGGAGGGGTGTTCAATAAATATTACTATTTGGTTCAAAATCTTCACAAAGCCTTTCTTTTGCCTCCTGGTTGTTTCAGACTCCCCAGCCTGGCACGCCAGTCTGTCAGTCTCATGGCTCGCTGGTCACCCATGCCCCCCCTCAGGTCCCATCCGGTTATCTGTGCTGCAGTAGGCTCAAGTTGGACTCCCGAGCACCCCTTACCTCTGGGCCTTTACCCCTCTGTCCCTTCTGCCTACAGTGCCCTCCTCTCCTCTTTGCCTGTCAAATTTCTATTCATCCTTCAAGGCCCAACTCAAATGCCATGTTGGTCATGAAGCATTCCATCCGCAGATGTGGCTTCTTGCTGCTAAGAACCAAAGCACTCTCTCCGTCCTGAGTCATGCCTGAAACATTGCTCTGTGTTTGAATGATATGTGTCTGTAATGAAAGCACTTTGAGGCCAGGTATTCCCAGAGTCTAGCATAGTGTAGTGCACATAGTAGGTGTCAGTAAATACTGAAGAGAATAAAGAATCCAGTGCTACACCAGCCAGCTGAAAGAGGCAGCAAACTCAACTTCAAGGAACTGGCAAGTGCACAGAACTCCTCTCCTGTCCCCTCTTTTATCAGTAGGAATAACAAGTGAACTCAAGACAGAATTGCATAAATCGCCCCTCCCTTCCTCCCCCAGCCAACATAGTTCAGCTTCCCTTCTGAAGAGGTGAGAGCGAGGAGTGACGCTGGTTTCTCTTGCCCCACCCCCTCTCTTTTCCCCCAAACACAGAGCAGAAATTCACCTCTGACAACACTGCTTTCAAGCTCCGGCAGGACATGGTCCACACAGGACACATGGCACGCAGCCCTCGGCACACCTCTGCAGGGATAGTGCGGACAGACGCCTCCCTCTCCCTCTCCCTCTCCGGCATGAAACACCTCACCTCTGCACCCTGGGCTGCCCTGGCCCTCGGCCTGGTCTTTGCCTCCTTCCACTTGGCTTGCTTGGCAGGTAGAACTGTGAGCTTTATTCTTGGCCACGCTGGGAAGGGGGAGGGAGAGAAGGAGGGAAAGGAGAGAGGGAGGGAAGGAGGGAGAGGGAAGGAGGAGGATTCTTTGGCTAGGGTTGATCCCACACAAAGCAAAGAGCAAACAGTTCTCACCTGAAGGATTAGACAGGAGGTGGTGAGTTGGGGTGGGGGTGTTCGACATTTACCTAAGCCCTTGATCAAATGCTCAGCTCCTCAGCTAGGACAGGATTAGCCACTTAGATTGGACTTTGCCACAAAGAAAGAGGAAAAAGCAGTGTACTGACAGTCTCTCCCATCCTGGGACCAATCTGGCCTAAAGTGACATTTTATTGGTTGCTGTGTCTCAACGGCTCCTTCTTGGTGCCCCCGGCTATTGTGGTTTGCAATTCCCGCTTTGTACTCCTGATCCTCCCCTAAGGTCCTCTGTCCCTCCCTTAACCCTGTGCTTCTTTTGCAACTTTCATAAATACCAAACTCAGGAAAGCTGTCAAATGCTGCCTACGATTCCCCCACCTTCCCCGAGCACGGGAGATGTTGAGTTATTGCCCTCTCTGTTCACGCACACTAGAGGGGTTGAGTAGCAACTCCTGTCTTGCTCTCTCAGGCTGGGCTCTGCACCCCGTGCAGGGAGACATCCTTCATACCCTCACGCTCCTGGCTTTGGCCTCTGGCTTTGATCTTGCTCCACAGCTCCTGCCCTGCCCTTGATGGATTTCTCTCAAAACCAACCCTCGATGACCCCTCAGGGCTGTATCTGTCTCCCTTGCCCTCACCGCCTCTCCTTAAGAGGTTGAGAGTATAAGCTCTAGCCACTCAGCCTCAGCTCAACTCTGGCTTCCACAACTTACTACTGTGTGGCCTTGAGCAAATCGCTTAACGTCTCTGTGCCCCAGTTTTCTCATTTATACTGTGAGGATAATCATAGCACTTATATATATAGTGTTGTCATAAGATGAAATGAGACTACTGCATGTAAAGAAGTTTTAGTAAATTAGCACAGGGTAAACAATGAATGTTAGCATGTTTATTTTCTAATACCCCTCCCCAGATGAGCATTTTATTTATTTTATTTGTTTACCCTCATAGTGACTTGCTTATGATAGGCTCTCAAAAAACTTGACAAATTTAACTGCACTTAATTGTTGGCTATTCCCAGCACCCAGTACTTCGGAAGTGACCCCAAGTGGGACTGGTCCCTGACTGGCTATGCTTATGAGGGAGGAGGATGAGGTTTAAATTCTTAGAAATTATTAATTAGGCTATTCAGTTCAAACCATATAAAATTACCGATATTGAAAAATTTTTTGACCTACCGAAATGGCAATTTCGAATGCTTTAACCTAATACCAGCATCTGATGAACTAGGTTTTTTCCATTCACTTGCTCTAGATGGGGACCACTTCCATTCTAGGGCAGAGGGGAGATGAAAGTCAAGGCCAAGGAAGTTAGCTGGGTTAAAAGGGAAATTAAATGTTGAGGAATCAATTTCTCCAAAACAAATAAAGACCAAGTTCTAAGCCATTTAGTTGTAAATAATTTACAGTAACAATCAGATTGTGTTAAGGTAATTACTATACTTCAGGTAGGACATTGGAGTGGCCGGGGTGGGTGGGTGGCATAAAATTAGTTTGAGCAGCAATTTCATGGCTTTGGCTAAACAAGGAGTTTCTTCCTGACTTGTCCTGCTACATGACAACAAGCTCCTTTGAAGGACACACTGCCCTACAGTCAGTGGGGCCTTGAGAGTTTCCAAACCACCTTTTATTTATTTATTTTTTGCATCCTCAAGGAAGCGGAACAGCAGTATAATTAATTTCCAGAACAATTCTTTAAAATTGACCTCTTGGTCTTGATCTACCTAGACTAACACTATCTAATAAAAATTTTTTTGATGATGGAAGATGTGGGGCGTCCCAACTGGGTGGGGGCCAGGGTACCAATAGTGAGAGAATTCACCCCAGGCAGAACAAAGGAGATAGAAGTTTACTGAATATACTGCAAGAGGGCAACGGGCAGGACAGCCAAGGAGAGACATTCTGCCGCGAGGTGGTGGTGAGGGGCTGTAGTTATAGGGCGGAGTGAGGGAGCATGGGAACATACGGAACTTTCCCTGTTCTGGTAATCTTAGGAACTGTGCCTGGTTGTAGCTGGTCAGTTAGGGTGGCTATTTCAAAGCTTCATGAATCTGTTTGCATTCAGCTGGGGGTCGCTGTGGGCCCTTTTGCCTTGATCAAGTTTCCAGTCCTCATGCCTATTGCCTAAAAGCGGCCTCTACAGAAATGTGCCACGTCTGTGCTGTGTTTCTAAGATGGTAGCATTTGGGAATAAGATGGTAGCAATGTGGTAACTGAGCACTTGACGTGTGGCTAATATGACCAGGAAGTTGAATTTTTAATTTAAGTCCATTTTAATAAATTTAAATAGCTACAAGTAGTTGCCCTATTGGACAGAATAGACCTGGATCGGGTGCCTGGGTGGCTCAGATGGTTAAGCGTCTGCTTTCGGCTCAGGTCATGATCCCAGGGCCCTGGGATCAAGTCCCGCATCAGGCTCCCTGCTCAGCAGGGAGCCTACTTCTCCCTCTGCCTCTGCCTCTCTCTCTCCCTGTCTCTCATGAATAAATAAATAAAATCTTTGGGGCGCCTGGGTGGCTCAGGTGGTTAAGCGACTGCCTTCGGCTCAGGTCATGATCCTGGAGTCCCAGGATCCAGTCCCGCATCGGGCTCCCTGCTCAGCAGGGAGTCTGCTTCTCCCTCTGACCCTCCCCCTCTCATGCTCTCTCTCTCTCTCATTCTCGCTCTCAAATAAATAAAATCTTTAAAAAAAACCAAAAAAACAAAAATAAATAAAATCTTAAAAAAAAAAAAAAAGAATACACCTGGATCATCCATCTGCTCATGCTGTCATGAGAGGGAACATAGACAATGGCTTTTCATGCTTAGGAATCTTTATGTTCATCTCCGTAGCCCCACCTCAACCCCACACTGATAGAACTTTGAGAATTCCCACTAAAGTTCTTTTTACCTTTGTGCTCCTTACTTATGGGTCAAGAGACAACTCTAAAGGCTGCAAATTCTAGCCATCTCTGGACTTGGTTGTATAGTGTTTAATTTTTTTGATAACCATCTGCCTGAGGTATACGATCATAATCATCAGAAGTAAAGAATCAAAGTCAGATTGTTTTTGAAGGGAATTGAAGATAGGTATGAGAAGACATACGAGCTTGTTAAATGATTGTTTTAATATATACGAGAGAAACTATGTCTACATGTAGCTATTTGCATAGGAAACAGCTAAAATGGAGTGTTTGGAAAGCTATTTGCATCAGACTTTGGCCACTGAAGGGTGAGATATGAAGAAGATGAGGTGTGAAGGCATGTGTCGATGAGACATGCAGATAAAGCGTCTCTGAATGGTAATAGTGAAAGGAAAAGGGGACTGTATTCCTTTGCTGCCATAACAACCTACCACAGACTGGATGGCTTAAATCATAGAAATGTATTTTCTAACAGTTCTGGAGACTCCAGGTGTCAGCAGGTGTGTCTTCTCCTGAGGCCACCTTCTTTCTCACTGTGACCTCACCCGGTCTCTTCTCTGCACAGGTATATCCCTGGTGTCTCTCCCTCTTCTCGCAAGGACACCGGTCATATTGAATGAGGACCCACCCATACGACTCCATTTAACCTTGATTTAACCTGTTGGGTTTTTTTTTTAAAGATTTTATTTATTTGACAGAGAATGAGAGAGAGAGCACATGAGAGGGGGGAGGGTCAGAGGGAGAAGCAGACTCCCTGCCGAGCAGGGAGCCGGATGCGGGACTCGATCCGGGGACTCCAGGATCATGACCTGAGCCGAAGGCAGTCGCTTAACCAACTGAGCCACCCAGGCGCCCCTTGATTTAACCTCTTTAAAGGCCCTTTCTCCAGATATAGTCACTACCATGGGTTAGGACTTCGATGAACTTGGAGGGGTCAGTTCAGTCTATAACAAATTGTTAACTTTGTTGCATGAAGTCTTAAAATACCCAGACTGAAACTTTCGCAGTATCACTACAAATTCACAAAAAAGATTTCACACTCTATGCCTGGGGATGGATTTTCCTACTGCCTGTGACCCTCTTCTGTCCTTTATTCCAGAAGCGAGGAACAGCGACAACACCACCTTGACCACCCACCACCCAGACCCCGGAAGCCTGGAGCAGTGCCCCAGTAAGCTTCTCCTGGCTGCTGACCTCACCCCAGAGCTGGCCCCGGGTCTGGGAGGGAAACTAGTGTTGCTTTATTCTACGTCTGACTCCTTTCTGCTGCCCTCACTGAATGACCAAATGTGTTTACTTCTGGGCATTTACGAAGGAGGGTAATAGGCAATAATACTTAGAGGTTAAGTTCAGTGCTTTGGATTCTTTCGGACTTGGGTTTGAGTCCTCTTCTGCCACCTGGTGACCTTGGGCGAGTTACAGCCTCAGCTCCTTCATGGGAATAGGAACTGTACCTCTCACTGTGTGAGGAATGAGTAAGGGGACGTGTGTGAAGCACCTAACAGTGTGTGGCGCCCTTTAGTAAACGTTAGCTCTCGTAGGATTCCTGGCCTGTTCTTACAAACCCTGGAGGGGGAGCTGGGAGGGCTGGTGCGATGCACCCTGTTGTTCTTGCTCTCCCTTCCCCGCCAGACGTGGATTTCTGTCCCCAAGCGGCTCGGTGTTGCCACACCGGAGTGGACGAATACGGCTGGATCGCGGCCGCCGTGGGCTGGAGCCTGTGGTTCCTCACCCTCATCCTGCTCTGCGTGGACAAACTGATGAAGCTCACTCCAGATGAGCCCAAGGATTTGCAAGCATGAGCCCCGAGAATGTCAGTGGCCACCAAACTGTGGGTCACCGCGGGGGGAGGGGGGAGTGGTCATGTGGTTTCTAACCAGTTACAGGCGTCGTCACCTCTGTGCTTCGGTGACTTCTAAAAGAGAAGGAAGAGAGAAAGGGGGATCCGAGGAAGGCAGGCCCGTGCTGCTTCACTCCTAAATCCACAAGGCACTCGTGCCTTCTGAGCGCCGACCATCTCTTTCTCAATCTACGGGGCCTGCTTCGGGTTTAACCAGAGCTTTGGTCCGCACTCCAAGGGAGGTGCACAAGAAACACGCGACTCTGACCTTTGTCCCCACATTCGGAGCCCAACTCAGAACCTTCGCACCCAAAACAGGTCCCTGTCTTCCATCCCTCATTTCATTCAGGGGCATCACTGGCCTCTCAAAATGTACGAATCACCTTTGACCAGCCCCCCGTCCCCACCCCCCACCCCGTGCATTGCTTCTCCCGCTCTTGTTCTTTCTTCAGCATTATCTTCCATGGCCGTCGGGCCCCACCGTCCCCGCCGGCACCCCGGCTCTGGCCTTCCTCCATCGCCCCTCCATCGTTTCAGGCATGTTCTGTTCTCTTCTCGCAGCCATCAGGCACGTCCTCCCCACGGGCCCCTCCCCAGGGCAGCTGTCAATGTGGTGCTATCGCCCCCTGCTGACGACCTTCCGTAAAGCCTCACCCCCGAACCTTGGACGGACACGCGGCGGGCCTTCCGCTCTCCGCAAGAGTCCAACCCCCTTCCCAGGTCTGTCTCCGCGCGCCTCCAGGACCGGGGCTCCGGTGACCCAGTCCTTGTCCCGACGTCTTCCATTTCCTGCTGCCCGACCCTCTGCTCTGCTGGGGGGTGGGGGGATGCCTTCCAACCCTGCCTCCAGATGGAAGGCCAGCCCTCAAAGTCCAGCCCAAATGCCTGCTCTTCTTGCAGCCTTCCCTGATAGCTTTGGGGGACCCGGAGCTGGTGCTCTTAGGGGTGCGTCTGCTCCACACTGAAGTGCAGCCCTCGTGAATACACAGTGTATACTTCCTCTTGCTCCTGAGGATAGAAAGCTCTTCGGAATGTTTGTCCGATGAGTGAATGATGAATGAACCAACTAACCAACGATCGAGTCCTTGCCCGAGATGAACTTAGGACCATCATTCCTCATCCTGCACAAGGATGTTGCTGGTCACCGGGAACATTGCCAGGAGGTTCAGGAGGAGAGGAGACTGGGTTCATCATAAGGAAGGAGGGACCAAATGACTCTCTTTATGAGACAATGGCTGCCCTTTGTGGGGACACATGTATTTAGATTGAACAACCAAATAATCATACACAATCAAGTGGGAGGCCCCTGAAGTAAGAAGCGTTTCCTAGAGGTGGCAGATGGCTCAGAGCTGCCCACCTGCTCTTTCAGAAAACCTAGGTAGATTTCCCCAACAGTGGGAACTGAAGGAATTGCCTGGCTCAGTCTGCTGTTTTCTGAATCTCTGTGATTTAATCAATAAAATGGATGGATTTACTGTGCCCACATGTTACACAGTTGCGTGAACAAAGGTCTGCGTGATGCCCCATGCGACGTTACAAACACACACGAGCATGTTCCACCTTTTTAGACATTTGAGGAAAGAGTTTCCACAATACGTGATAGTTGACCTCCTTAGAGATGGAAAGAGTCAGTAAGGACCCCCTGGGATTTAACATCTGCAAGCGTTTTTGAAATAAAACAGTGTGACATCCTGGTGAGAACACTACCTCTGAAAGCAACAGAGAGAAGGGAAATGAAGACTGATTGCTGGCCAATGTGAACGGAAACGAGTCACTTCACCTTGGGAGTGTCAGTTTCCTAAGTAGAGAATGTAGGAATTGGACACAGCCGTGGTTACAAACTGGGTTGCCAAAGCCTGGAGGGCTAGCTGGGGTGCTGCACGGAAGGGGAGGGCATGAGGCCGGTCCTTGGAACCATAGCGCGTGGCTCTTACCTCTTATATGCCAGACCTCCACAGTAAGATTTCATTTGTTCCTTCATTATTATTATTTAGAGAGAGAGTGCAAGCAAGGTGCGGGAGGGGCAGAGGGCGAGAGAATCTCAAGTGGACTCCCCACTGAGTGTGGGGGCCCAACGTGGGGCTCGATTTCACAATCCTAGATCATGACCTGAGCTGAAATCAAGAGTCAGACGCTTAACCGACTGAGCCCTCAGGCGCCCCTCATTTGCTGCTTTAGAAGCAGAAAGCCAGAACATCCCCTTGGGTCTGGGCAACGTGAAGGTTCTTAGACTACATTGAAGTGAATAATGTGTAGTTACTACCACTGCCACCTGCAAATTTAGGCATGTTGTGAATCACCTTCCTTTCCTCTGTACAAGAGGAAGAACAGACCAAATCCAAATCACTGCTCTTTTCTTTGAGACTAGACAGAAAGACAACTTACATGATCTGATGGTTATACTTTCCAGATGCTTCATCTCAGATCTTCCCTCAGCACGGGATCTCTTTACTCTATCAAAGCAAAGATTTGTCAATAAATTAAAAAGGAAAATCTGAAGGGGAAAACCAAGTATCACCTTGCAGGGATCTAAGAACCCCCTGGTATAAAGCAGCAGGACCTAACAGTAAATGTGCTTTTCATTTAAGATTTTTGCTTTTATTCTTGTTTTTTAAGATTTTATTTATTTATTTGAGAGAGAGACACAGCGAGAGAGGGAACACAAGCAGGGGGAGTGGAAGAGGGAGAAGCAGGCTTCCCGCGGAGCAGGGAGCCCGATGCGGGGCTCGATTCCAGGACCCTGGGATCATGACCTGAGCTGAGGGCAGATGCCCAATGACTGAGCCACCCAGGTGCCCTAAGATTTTTGCTTTTAGTAGATGATGTTGCCCCCAGCACTGTCACAGGCTGTGTGACACAGAATCCACACTGCTTGTGACATCTCTGTACCAAAGTGCCCTGCATAAAAATAGAATATTATACATTATTATCTGACTTTAAAATCTATTCCTTTTTATATATGCATGATACCCAAGGACAAATAAATCAAATACATAATTTTTTATTAAAAATAAAATGTTAGGGGTGCCTGGGTGGCTCAGTGCGTTAAGCATCTGCTTGCAGCTCAGGTCATGATCCCAGGGTCTTGGGGATCGAGCCCCGCATCAGGCTCCCTCCTCAGCGGGAAGCCTGCTTCTCCCTCTCCCACTCCCCCTGCTTGTGTTCCCTCTCTCGCCGTGTCTCTCTCTGTCAAATAAATAAATAAAATCTTTAAAAAAATAAAATAAAATGTTATACATACCATGCAAGATTCATCAATAAGTCTTGGGCTAGCTTTTCCATAAAAATATATGTAAATATACTTTTAAACTTACAGAAATCATAATCTAGAAATGTTTTTGATGAAGAGCAACTTTGTCTAAACCCTGGCATGTATTTTAAGATCATATATACATAATGTGGTGTGACTGCATTGGTCTTCATTGGCATGTAGTAGGAGTGCCTTGTAGACAATCTCTATCTGGTGTCTCCTTCCAGCCTTACCTGGTCTAGCGCATCCTTCACCCTTCCTTCCAGAATAATCTTTCTAATACCTAAATAAGTGATCAAGGCACTCTCCTGCCTGAAATCCTCCTGTGACTCCCCACAACTGACAGAGTAAAATCCATACTCTTAGGATGACCCATCAGGCCTTCTATAATTGGATCCCCAGATATTTCTCTAGCTTAATGTTTACATATCCTTCATGCAAACCCAGTTCTGAATGATTTTAGTTCCTAAACATGCCAGGTCTTTTCTATCCTCCCCGTCTTTGTTCTTGCTGTTCACATGGCCTGGAATATACTCTTCCCAAGAGATAGATTGCTCATGAGCCAAGGGCAGCTTACACTTCAGGTCACCTTACTTGCGGGCTCCCCCACCACAGGCCCGCTACCTAATTTTGTATTTCTAATTCTATATATATTTCCTTAAGAGGGCCTTTTAATTGTATGCATGTGAGGTCCTACAAGCCTGAACCCTGCTCTTCTGCTCCCCCTTCCCTCTTCTGACTGGACTCATTTAGTTTACTGGGAGTGTTCTTTCCAGTCCAGCTGTCCCTTGTCCCTGGATGGACACACACACACACACCCCCACACACACACCACCTCCAAGGCCTGTGTTCATCTTCAGGGCAGCACTGTGACAAAGTGTTTGACCAAACTCTAGCCAGGCTCCTCTTGATCCCTCATCTCAACTGGGCCTCAACCCTGGCCTATAAAAACCACAGAATCTCAATACAAACGATTTTGTCTACCTTTCCCCCCACACATTCAAAGACTTAAACAAAGCTTCTAACAACTCAAGGCCACATCCCTAGGATGACCCAACCCCCCCACCCCCTTAAAGTGCTTGTCTGAGAAAGCTCAAGGCTGACCAAAAAAATTGACTATTTGTTCTAACCAATGCCTGACAGTAGGCATCTGACCACCTTTTCTTAGAGCATTTACTAAAAGGGACTTATATGTCTATTTCTATACGTATCTGTCTATATATCTATCCATCTATATATCTGTTACAACCAGGATCTGAAAGCTATTCCTTTAAAATGTAATCACCAGGAAGGACAGGGCCTCTGTCTCCCAGTCTCTGGAAGGACAGGGTCTTAACTTTGATGATTGACAACTGGTGGACACAGCTGGCCTAATCATTAGCGTTTACACTGACCAACATTTTGCATTTCTCACTTCCCTGACTCTACTGAGCTCCAGCTCACCCCACTCCTTACTCCCTCATTCCCCTGTAACACACCCCCCCAGTCACCTCTGTACAAATCGAAGTTGAGTTCACGCTAGACCCTCTTCCCTGCTGTAACAGTATATTACAATATTAAAATCTGTCCTTAACCACTTTGGTGTCCAGCTTTTTTTTTTTTTTTTTTTTTATCTTTGACAACTGAGCATGTTGGACTATAATATCTACCTGCTTGTCTTTCTCACTAGTCTCTCTGAAGGCAGGGACTGTGTCTTTAACCTCGGATTCCTTCCACCTACCCAAGGCCTATATGTGCAGCACAAACTCAGTAAACATTTGATGAATTAGTGATTCAGATGAGACCCAAGAAC